ATCTATCTATCTATCTATCTTACTTGCGACCGTTTTCAAGGCACTCAGAGCATTCAACTTCCCCTTGCTCGTCGAGAAGAAAGGTAAGATCTGATGCGACTTGCAATCACAAAATAATGAACCGCTTTTTTGGGTAAAAACGCGCATTCTTTTCCTTATTGATCCTTGGGATAGACTAACGTTCAATGACCAAACAACACCGACTTTCGGACCAGGTTCATTCGAACAAAAACAAACGAGTGCTTAACGACTTCTACGGCCAGTTTCCAAGACTGCCTGGACAAAAGGCAGGAAAAGGCGGAGAAAGAAAACAAACAAACAAAAGCAAAAACAAAACCCCAAAAAAAACAAAGAGATATACACGTGTTTACTTTTCCTGTCGACATTTTACTGAAACTCTGCTATGTCGCGTGTGGAAAAGACGAAGCACTGCTTCGATCTCTTTTCTTTTCGATTCGTTTCATTTCGTTTCGTTTCAGTTTATGTAGCAGAGTGTGATGATTTATATCATCGTTCATCAGCATTCTGAGATTGATCGCTTTGATTGAGAAAAGCCACCCACGCCAGACTCCTGAGGAAGGGGGGGGGCGAGGGGGGGGAAGGGCGGGGGAAGGATATTGGGGGGGGAAAACTATCAACGACTGGTTGTAAGAAAGAACTGTGACTCGGCCGCGTAGAGCTCTTTTACTATCGTCCTCGGGTAACAAAACCCTCCCTTTCTCTGGTCCTTTGGTTCCATAACAAAATTTACTTTTCTCTTTGTACAGGGCAGTTGATAACAAAATCGAGAAAAACTAACGGATTTTGAAGACTAATGATACAGAAAATTCACCAAGCATGAACCTACCTTCTCTCAAACACCCTCCTCCGGCGCACACACCTACCTCAAAGACTTCGGGACCTTGCTCGGTCACTTTCCGGCGCCATGATATCAGCGCGCCCATCCATAACCGATCTCCAGCAACGGTGCGCGAACGACCGGCGTACCCAACGACGGGGCGATGACCTTCAGCAACCATCGCCTACCGTCTTCGCCCGAAGAGAACGCCCGGTCGTTAAATCTGTATTCGATGCAACTTTCAGTCCAGATGCGGCAATAATTACCGGGCGTGCTGTTCGGGTGAAGAAGGTAACAGCGACGACGATCTAGAGAGAGATGGACCAACCTCTTCGGGGGGCAACTTCGACCAACCCTTACGCGCCGAACTTCCGCTCTATCGATCGCCAAGCAAGGCAACTACACCTCAACCGGCATTCATCGGGCACTGAACCGCAAACTCCAACGCAAGGAAACTTCACCTCAACCGCCAAAGCAAAGGCAACTTAGGCAACTTCACCTCAACCGCCAAAGCACGGCATTCACAGGAACTGGACCTCAAGAGCCGCAACTTAACCTCAACGGCCAAGCAAGGGGAACTTCACCTCAACGGCCAAGCAAAGGGAACCTTCAACTCAACGGCCAAGCAAAGGCGGCTTCAACTTAACCGCCAAGCAAGGGAACTTCACCTCAACCGCCAAGCAAGGGAACTACACACCCACCCTATGGTGGCTATAGACCTCAGACCCCAAGCACGGGACGAATATACGCAACCGAAAAGGAGAGCCGGCCAATCGAAGTTTCCTACGATGAGAATGACGGCGCGAATTCGATGGAGAGAGAGCACGAACGACCAGCCAATCGAGCACTAGACCATGAGGACCGTTAGATCGAGCCATCGGATCCGGGGATCGAAGAGGGGCTGGAGGGTGAGGAGAGGAGGGGGGGAGGAAGTGGGGAGGAAGAGAAGGAAGGGCGGAGGAAACGGGGGGGAAGGGCGGAGGAAACGGGGGGGAAGGGAGGAGGAAGAGGTGGAAGAGGAGGAAGCGGGGAGGAAGGGGGGAGGAAGAGGAGGAAGGGGGGAGGAAGAGGAGGAAGGGGGGAGGAAGAGGAGGAAGGGGGAAGGAGGGGTGTTCCATCAATTTCGATCGAGGGGAGAGGAAAGTTCGATCGAGGGGAAGAGGAAGTTCGATAGAGTGACTGAACCCGCCGGTGTGAAAGGAGTGAAAACGGGTTTTGAGGAGTGAAAACGGGTTTTGAGGAGTGAAAACGGGTTTTGAGGTGGGTGTCAAGGAGAGAAAAGGCTGGATTCGAACTCTTCTATAGCCGCCCTGAGGACAGAAACGGGGCGATTGAAACTATTCCTCCACTGAAATGAGCCAAGAGCAAGCGAATGAAAGAAAGAAAACGACAAACAGGTCTGAGAGTGACCTGCGTGAGAGTGCGTGGGGAATAACTGCTCGCCCTCTTCACCCGGAGAAAAGGTGAGCAGAGGCCAGATGGAAAAGAAAAAAGAAATGGAAAAAGCTCCGAGTCGGGGAACCATGGAAATCGCCATCACCACCTACTTCTCTGTGACTTCACAAAAACAGTAGGCGTCGTTGAGTCGCGCAAAACTCAGTTTTTTCCTAATCCGGCAATACGAGTGAGGAGAAAGAGAGGGGGGAAAAGCGAGAAAGAAGAGGCTCCGTCACCCACTTACTTGATCAAGCCATCATCCTCTGCTTCTCATCGAGACACCCCTCCCCGATGTATCTGTCTTCCTTGTCCATGTTCAACTTGACACATTGTCCCCCACATTCTCCTTCCTCTTCCTCTCTCTCTCTCTCTCTCTCTCTCTCTCTCTCTCTC